CAAAGTCCTCGTAGTGTTTGACAAACTTATTCTTCAACATATCTAACATATCATTCATAATGCGTTTCTGTTTGTCTGCCATACCCTTAAACACATATCGGGCCACTGGAAGCACTTGTAGTAATAGAAATTTAGTGCTATTTTCACGCATAAAATCCTTCATAACGTATTTTATTTGCTTGTATTCCGTGTTATTTGTGTCGTAACTAAATTGCATTTTTAAAACAAATTAAAATCAAACGTCGAATTAATTTATAGAAATAAATTGCAAACCTTTTGCCGAAAGCACTGGTGGACAGGATATTGAAGAACAGTTGATAGATATAATCGGTGGCAACGAATGGCTGATTAAGTCCCTCGTTGTTGACCATCATCTCTACCGTCCGCTCCACACAATCCCTCACAAGTAATACTAGTTTATCACTCGTTGAATATTTCCTAATCAAATACATATCATTACTCCCTTAGAGTGCGAAAAGAATGTAAAAACAAAATAAAATACTGACTGAACGGCTGAATGACCGACACGTCTGAGCGCTTCCCACGTATGGCCGTAATCGGCGCCCGCTATATCCGATCGCTTCCCATTGTTAACTAACTCAACTATAATCATAATAATTACCATGATTAGGTTTTGATTATAATTACCATGACTTTTATCTCATACATATATAGATATTATAACGTCCGGCGGCATCGTTCTTGTGAAACAGCTCTTTGCCCACATCGATATCATTTATGATAATAATCGGATCGCCTGACAGCCAAAAGGTCAATATATCACCATATTTTTGAGTATACTTTGTTAGCTCGTCAGACCAGTGGCCTTTTGTTCCCTTTAGATCTATTTAAACAGTGTATAAATTAGTCATGATCATATTTTTACGTATATTATTAATTACGTAATATGCTTCCCAGCAGTGGCACCGGTATGGGTCCGGGTGGCAGTTGATACACACGGGTATAGAATTTTGCAAATTTATAAACAATATTTCCAATTATGATGGATATAATGGCTGTGCAAATGTCCACCGAAATCATATGCAATAAACTCGTTAGGATTGACATTATATTTAGCTATATTCACAAAAGGATTTTATTAAGGTCATACTGCCCTAGCTGCACTCAAACCATTATTATATCATAACTGTAAAAAGTACTATGTTTAGTCAAATATGTTTATCATTTTCTTTCTATACCATATATTCTATTTAAAATGTCTTATGTGTGTTCTCATTAATAAGCATTAAATATAAAGTATATATATTGATATATTAAAATAAAAATATGTGTTTATTATTAATGATTTATGCGCAAACATCCACCGATTCAATTACCCTATAATTAACAATGATTATCAAATTCAATAACTGATGGGCTTTTTGTATACATTTTATAAATACCATTTTTGATTGTGTTATCAATCGTTAAATTCGTCGTGAAATTACTTATTAATAAGGATTTTCATTGTTTACTCATTTATTTCATTAATTAAATAAAAATTATTATGTTTATTGTTTTTGTTGTTATTTACTGACAAACAATTGCTTATCGAGACGTAAGTCTAATAAATAAAACATTTATTTACAATTATCTATAAATATTGTTACTTTGTTTAATCATTAACGTATTGTAATTTACAATTTGTAAATATAAAAATATTATTTAAATCAAATATAGTGTAATTCTTAACAATAAAAATAAACTAGAATAACAATTTAACAAGTGTCTTTTGAATATTATTATTATCAAGTTGCCGGAGTATTATTTATTAATTTATAATATAGCAATCAATAATCAAATTACATTTAATTATTGACTTAATATTACATTAAAGAAATTTATAATTGATCAATATTAGTTTTTATTAACACAAGATTATATAGATCCTTTTGGCTATTGATTTAATACATAAATCTGACAAAAATAATTTTAATGACAACTATTACATAAGATATTTGTAAATACTGTATAAACAAGATAATCAGTTTGAATATAGTATATGATCCGTAATAATAGGATACAATCGGGGTATATATAAGACGTGGATTTTGCATTATTTTTATTATAACTTGTTATAACTGTTATAACTTAAACATTAATTTAACATCAACTTCATGTAAGAAATAATAGTTTATTAATAAAAAATCATTTAAATAAAATTAATATATTTTTTATTACAGAACTTTAAAAGTGGTATCAAAACTGTATTAATAATGAACGCAAAGTTGATCTGTATTTTGGTTTTGATGTCGGGTTTGTTGGCGACTAGTGTTTGGGCCGAAGTATCGGTGGAGTCAATACAAGAGCAACAGTTTTACGCTAAACTCAATGGCAGTTATTGTTACGACAGTGCCGTCAATGCGATAACCGGTGCCAATGATATGAAACGATTTTGTTGGTACGTTTGTATCGGACGAGTTTGCTATTGGAAATGCAAATAAATATTACTGATCGGAACTCAATCTATTAAACCATGCTATAATTTAAAAAGATAACATTTATTTGATATTAATTAACTTTCGTATTGATTTCTTACATATTATTATTACAATTGAGTTTTAAAATTGTTTAAATGTTATATGAATGTAAAGTCTTTATATACACATTGAATTTGCGACAAAACCCAACTCAATAAATGCTAATTTACTTTTATCTCACTTTCTATCAAAACTGGATTTAAAGTGAGAGAAAATAAAATTCAAGGCTTTTCGTGAGCTCATCATAAATACCAATCAGAAAAGTTTAAAAATAAAAATGTTAAATATTTAACTAAATTACGCGTTCACTTGTGTTTTGCAAATAGTAATTCAAACATTCAGATAACAAACATGTGCTCAAAAAATGACAATTTAGTGCTAAATAGCATTTTTAACCCATTTTTGCCAACAACTGAATCTGAAGTGGCTTTAAATAATGGTATGTTTTATGGTTTAGACATTAATTGTATTGAATTAATGAATACTCTGTTCAGAAACTGAGATCATTAGTGGACCCGAAGAGGAATTGGCCAAAGAGTTGGAAATTAAAGCCATAAATGCTGCCAATTGTTCACAATATGAGCAGTCATTGGATTTGATAACCCAGGCTATCAATACAGCTCCCAGAAGAGCATCCTGGTATGCTAAACTACCTTATTTTATAATGCATTTTTGATATTATGTTTATAGTAGGCCGTTCATTAATTAACGGTTTAATTACTTTCCCAATTATACTTCAATACATCATTAGTTCATGTTATTATCTAATAATAGATAATAAAATATGTGTTGTTAAATATAATGATAAAACTATAATTTAATTAATTAATTAACAGTTACAACAATAGAGCTCAAGTCCATCGAGAGATGGGAAATACTGAACGTAAGTCCAACAATGTAATTTGTTAATTACAGTACATTGTACCGAATTTAATGTATTTATTATTAAATAATCATGGTAAACTTAATATAATGTTGTGTGATGTGAAGTTGCATTCCAGGACCTCAATAATGCTATCAATTTGAGTGATGGTAAAGGACTGGTCGCCCGACAGGCCTACTGTCAACGCGGACTCATTCAGTTGCTTAACAACAAACAAACTGAAGGTTTTTGTCGGCACAAAAAAATTATATTTCAATTACTATTCAATTTGTAAAGCAGTTGTTGTGTCCGCACAGGTATTGAAGACATGGAAATATCGGCCAAAATGGGCAATGAGTTTGCGAAAGCACTGGTCGTCCAAATGAATCCATACGCAGCCCTCTGTAATCAAATGCTCAGAGATATGATCGACAAGTGCCGCAAAGGCGACCAATGAATCTCATATCTAACATACAATTATTGCATTGTTTTACTAAATATTTTTGATTTTTTATTAAGAATATTATGTTTTGAATTTTATACATTTAGCACTTGTTATTAAGGTTATCCAGTTCCCAATTTTGATAAATATATTCCAGAAAAATAGTTTATATTTTTTAAAATGACCAAGTTGATGAAATATACATATACTTAAACACAAAGAAGATTTAGTTAAATCCAATTTAATTAACACGAACATGAAACAATAATAAAATTCTAGACATGTACAGTATGTTTGCCATATATCCAGAAATTAGCACATAATGTGGTTATAAAATAATATTAAAGATCAACACAATGTTTGAGACTTTTTCTTTCATTAGATTAAAAACATAAATGCATTGAAATATGGGCCGAAAGTATACATCAATCAATTCAATGCAAATTACTTAACAGTACATTCAAACATTCGATTAGATTAAGGTTAAAATATGTATGTTTAATAATATATTTATGTAATGTATGTTTACTACAGTATATTCAAATGGCCATTGACAATGTTTTGTTTAATAAACAAAGTACACAATATATGGTAATTGTGTAATTAATTATTATTATTCATATATAAATAAATGAAATATATTTCAATTACACATTAATGTGTAAAATAAATCTCATTCATTTGTATAACTTTAAATAAAATTTTAAAAACTGTTCCCAAATTAATTTACCTTTATTCTTAATTTAATTGTGTATAGTATTTAAAATAAATATAAAACTTTTAATAACTTCTACCAAATACCAATCATTGTTTACATGTTTACAACAGTAGACACAATTGACATTCAACTTAATACAAACATCAGAAGTATTACATCAATAACCACTTGTTGTGATTTTGATTTAAATATTGAAACTGTACTGTACTGTACATGGACAATCATTACTTTTTATTTATTTGTATACTGAGGTTATACTGTAGTCCTAGAAAGTGTTGACTTATCTAAAAAGAGCTCACTGTTTATAACTGTTATATTAAAACACATGAACTCTTGTCCCATAGGATAGCACTGATTGACACACATTTGTGATTATAAGCGGCCGTAAAACGAGTTTTCATTTTCGTTAACAAAAAAGCCATTATAAACCTATTGAACAGTACCTGACCTTAACTTTTAGAGCAAAACTTTCACTACTCCTTGCATTTGTAACTGTTATGTAAATTTCAAGTTATGGTTAAATTGGTTTTTACTTTCCTTTTCAATCCAAACCTCTTGTCTGCACAAAAATGTTGTATTGTTTCAAAGTTTAGTATCAAATAAAAGTTTAGTTTTGCAGTTCAACTAAACTGTTTTTGGAGATCTACATAACGTAGAGATAAACCTAATGTTTGCTTAAATTTTTCAAATTAATGTCTTAATTGTTTAATATATTTTTAATAAATTGATCAGTTTTAATGTGAAAATTGTTATTTAATATAATTTATTATTATATATCTTATAAAAATTTTAATATTGTCGCAATTAATAATAAATCAATTATTAAAAACTTATATGTATATTATTTAACAAAGTTTTTAATCAGTTATAAAAATGAATTAAATAAATAAATTATATAAATTATATTTATCTTCAACAATTAATAAAAGCGATGGATAGTACAGATAAACAGCGTTTAGAAAAACAATGGCATGAATTGATAACAACTGGTGTGAAGACTCCCGGCGTTTGTAAAGAGAGAAACCCATTGATATCGCCGCCCGATTGGTACGATCCCGACCGCTATAGACGAGCCCAACAGTTATCAAAAAAATATTTTCTCAGGTTTCTATTAAAGCCAAGCATTGAATTTAAATCATACAGTATTTGATTTGAAATACAAATTAAAAATTACATTCAAAATTCAGCTTAAATTTAGCGCATTTTATTGGAAATATACTATTAATACATTTGCCGCAAGTAATTGTGCCAATACTGGCCACCGGACGGTCGTCGTCGGTATACATGGTATTCCTACGAGTGTTGTCCACAACCATACATGTGTTCAAGTGGTACGAAGACGACCCGTTTGACCGCAACAGCGCATCCCATAAGTCTCTAATGCAGGTGCGATACACGTGTCATATGGCGGTCACCAAACTTATGAACGAGAAGTACCCGCAAGAGGACCGGCTGTGGCTCAACCAGTTTGATATGGCAATGACACAGTGGTCTCTCATTGGACTCGTAGGTGTGTCCACATTAGCAATCATAACAATGTATTTATTAATTAATAATTAAATGCATTTGTTATATAATATGTCAGGCATTCGTCCGAAAGAGTGTGGCTTTCATATGACAAACAAACATGAATTCGAAGAATACATGTATTTCTGGAAAGTAATCGGTTATTGTATGGGAATTGAGGATCGATTCAATATATGTCAGAATAATTACGAGCAATCGGTCGCCTATTTTGACATTTGTTTCAATGAGTGCTATAAAAAGCATTTGGACGAACAGTGCCCTAAAGTGCAAATGGGTATGAAATTGACCCAGGGCGTCTTCTTGGGTATGAAATATACATTTTTTATTATCATTGTTTAAATAATTTTAGTTTATATTCATATAAACTAATTTATATCGATGTACATAATATAATGTTAGGAATCAATGGAGTTATGCCTAAATACCTGTTCAGTTACGAAGGCTTTATGAAGTACTGGTACGAAGCACTCGGTGTTAAACATCCTATTGTACTGCAGAGGTTGGACCAGAAGTTATCCTATTATATGATGGTCTTTACAATGGATTATTTGCTTAAAATCCCAATTATTTATAAAATTATATCGTTTTTATTTTTTCGTTTACAAAAAGTATTGTTTCTGAAAATGAATGACATTAAGACCTATACAGACAAAGAGTATTCACACCTTAAATATGAGATAATTGCCGATCAAAGCAATTATAATGTGGACAATGTTTTTTATAAATCTAATGTTTAACTATTGTTAATTATTGTTGTTTTAAATTAATTGTGACATTTAATTATCACCAATTTATATTGCTTAATGTATTGAGTTAATTTTTACGGTGCCATAAAACTAAAAAACTTTGGTTGATAATGATTTTTAATTAAAACATTCATTTTTGAATACGTCAAAACTTTACTGTTGATGCCTAGTGTGTTTTCCTATCAAATCTCTCTCTCTCTCTCTCTCTCTCTCTCTCTCTCTCTTAAAAATATTTAACAGAAAACTGTAACAAAACAATTGCTATGAAATTGTGAGCAGAAATAATTTATATTGAAAAATGTTTTCATAGATTTAAGATTAGATTTAAGTTAAAATTATAAGGGTGTGTAAAACAGCTGTCAATGTATTGCAATACAAAAGGGCTATCAATGAGAGTGTGTATCAAATATGAGCTCAAAGAGTGTGTATAAAAG